AGACAATTCTCTTCTTCATCAAAAACCCTCTATATCCTTTTCTTCTGATAGCCAATCTTCTTTACATGCGAACTTACTTGAACTCGGATATATAACTGACCCCCTTCGCACCTCGAGCTTTTCTAGGGCATCTACAGACATAGACATTTCATTGTCATCTGAGGACACTATGACTGAATCTCATCACCAGCTAATTCAAGACGTGGCTAAAATCTTAAGATATGACTCAGCTAATCCTAACATAGTCCTTATTATTGCCAGGTCAGCTGTAAACAAAATGGCAAACATCAAATACCTACTGTGGATTTGCCAATCTACAGAACTAATGATCACTGAAGCTTGGTGCACAAGTGAAATAAATGATGATTTCTCTCACTGCGAAGGCTACTGTCAATCACGTCTCATAAACCGTTAATGCCCAGCTCTTGCTACGCTCGGGCCCACGCTGTTCTTTGAAGATTTCAGAAACGCTTAGTTATAACGGACGCAAAAACCAAAACACCGATCTGCTGATTGATATTTCTGTATTGTTACACCAACATATAAAAGGAATAAACGAACTAAGCAAACTAAGGTCTGAAAACAAATATTACAATAAGAAATCATTGTATTCCTTCTGACGATGTCTCACTCTTCTTTCTGAACAGCGACCGATGAGACGATGACTGTCGTATTGATGCCTCCGCGAAAATTGGGGAAGTTGATTTTAAGCAAACAACCAAGAATTGATCGTTCAATCTTCAACCACATTGACACTCCCCGGGAAAAAACGGATCCATCCCTCCTTTCCATCAGGACCAATAGACGTTGACTTGGATGCCATTGCGAGAACCTGGGTCACACGGACAGAGCTGAAATGGAAAACAAACAGAAAAGCCAACACACCACAAGCATACCCACAGCACAATCTCACACATCAATGACGACCTGCGCCTTCCAGTTAAAGACATCCTCTTGACACATCCTCTTGCAACACAATCGCCACTTGCTAGAATGACTTGCAGAATGAAACGTGACCATAGCACCACCTCACGATACTCTACGCACATCCTCTTATCTACTCACTACCAATTACCACTGCAATCGCTTGCCACTCATTCTGCCTCAGTTCTAGTAACGGTGACGCATGCGAGCCTCAGTCGTCTACACTCTTTCTCCCCGGCGTGTCGGAACACACCTAATCATTAACTCCGTGTGCACCTCATTCTCAGCAATAGCCTAGCCTCCCCGGCGTATACGCCCCATCTGCTGTCCTTAACATCAATCAATTCATTCACGGATGTAGAAGACTCGAAACAACTTCAGAAGTAATCACGACGAAAGTTTTAACAAAATTACGCAATAACAACAAGATACGAAAACAACGAGTAAACACAATGAATCCAAAACCACCAATTGATATGACACACCACACACATATACAAACAGTACACACAAACTCGCGGATCATGTTTCGATGTAGTTCCTTTGAAGAATTGCAGGACTCACACAATTATTTAACACAAACATATGTACAATCAAGACATCAAATGTTGTGGATTGTGGCATGACAAACTACCCTTGAAGAACTGTAGGACTTACAACAGTACGCCTACATTCCTTCTCAGGTCGATGATCCAAGTGGAAGTCATCCGGACACAAAGAGAACTACCAACAGCTAGACGACAGATGATATCAATTCAGTATATACAATGTGAACATATGTACAAAATCACACACCAAGCACATTGGATTGCTCATTGATGCGCTACCCTTTGAAGAACTGTAGGACTTACAGCAGTACGCCTACAACCCTTATCATGTCGACGCCCTAGGTTGGAAAATCGTCGCAGAGTTCATTTGCTGACTTCCTTCTATCAGCTATATCCTCAAATCTGAACGGTAACACGCTCATCTCATTTTATCGTAGAATATAGATGACGAACAAACACACGACGTATCTGATCAACCAAGCGTAGGCACAGAGTAATTTACACCAATGACAGTAAACTGTCTCCACCGTACTTCAATACCTCTGGAGTGATTCCATCAGGTCCTGCTGCTTTGCCTAGTTTCAGATTGGTGACAGCTTTAGTAACCTCAGTTAGGGATGGAGGACCTGTGTGTATATCCCATTCAGGGAGGTGTTGGATGCTCGGAAGTTTGAGCGTGGCTGTGGGCCAATTAAACTGCTCCTCATAGTGCTCTTTCCAGCGATCCAGTCGTCTGGGAGCTAGTTATAGTGCCATTTTTCTCAGAGATTGTTTCACTAATGATTTGCCTTCTCCCACCCGTTTCCCTGACGAGTCTAAGGAGTTGCCTAGTGTTGCCTATCGCCGATGCTTTTTCCGTCTCTTTCGCCTTTGTCACCCACCACTGTTCACGGTTCTTGCGGAGACTTTTCGTAAGTTTCCTTTTGTGCAGCTTTCGTTCCTCATTGAATTCGGAGCTCGCCGGAATAAGTCTTCTAGCATCTATCAGTTCGGATGAGGCAGTGGAGATCCAGTGGTTTTTACTCACCTTTGGGTTTAACTTATTCACAGCTTTTACAGCTGTATCTATGGCTGCCTGGATATTCTTCCAAGCTTCTTCAGGGTGAGCACAGCTGTCGAACACATATATGTGTTTAGCTAGTTCTTCCTCAAATACGGATTTAGTTTCCTGATCGAGCTGGGGACGTGATGGTTTTACTGCCAGCTGTTTCCTACGTCCGTTCAGTCGTAAGCACACCCGGGCGCGGACCAGTGCATGGTCGGTATCTACGCACGTGTTCCAGAAGGAGCGACAATCTCCTACCGACCCACGCCAACGATAGCTTATTGCTATGTGGTCTATTTGTGTCCAGCGTTGGTTTGATGAAGGGGTCTCCATGTCAAACAGTGTCTCTCCTTGTGTTTGAAGTTAGTGCTTACAAGAAACAAATGATTATCTGAACAGAACTGTAGGAGACGGTCACTGTTGTCGGTTCGCTGGTACGGAACTCCATAGGTGCCACCGACATCCTTCTCAGATTGACACAATTTCCCTACTTGAGCGTTAAAGTCACCAGCTAGAACGACTATGTCTGAGCGTTTAGCCTTTCGCAGCAAACTAGATAGCTTTTGGTAGAACTCATCCTTCGTTTCATCCGAACTGCAGTCAGTGGGGGCGTAGGCGGAGATTACGAAAAGGCATCGGCGAGTAGTGCAGTCCTTTCTCCTTCTTACTGATCCGTTCAGACGGACAGCACACATTCGGCTATCTACCGGGATCCAGTCAAGCAATGTCTTTTCTGCCCTAGTACTCAAAGCTATCCCTACACCAGCTAATCCTCGTGAACTAGCTGTGGCATCTCCTGACACTCTCAAGGTGAATTTTGCAGATTCAACCTGTTGGCCAGGTGGGATTAGGTGAATAACCACACTTGGGTCTTGTATGCGTGTTTCTGAAACACAGCATACATCAATGGCTCGGGATGCCAGGGTCTTAGCTAGTGATGCTTGTTGTCCTATTTGGCAAAGTGTCCTAACATTAAATGCTCCTATATGAAATTGGTGGCGTGGCTTTAGGAGACTATCGTTGGTGGTTTTTTGGCTTCCGTCGTTTTTAGTGGACACAGAGTGAAGAGGGAGTGAGGAGCCATCAAGTAGAGGAGTTGCATCAGTGGGAGGAAGGCAAGGTAATAGAGATGAAGATGAAGACAAAGATAAGTGAGGATTAGAGAGGTTTTGTGTGCATTTCGGATTGTGAGGGCGTTTGTTACTTCCCGGCTGCCCACACCGTGGAAGTTGGTTGCGTGACCGCAGAGCCCAGGGGACAACTGCTTGAGGCCGGTCACACGCGGCCTGTTTTTGTTTGTTCTCTTTTGCTTGGTGTGCCTCAGTAGCATACTTATCACTCCTGCCCTGTGACACGGCAGCAGGAAGCGCGGTCGTTGTTAATCCGGGCCACGGCCGATCCGGCATGAAATTTTGGGATTTTGTATTTATCATGATGTTGGATCGGGTCGCTGCTTTTTGTTTAACCGCTATCCAAACAACCTGTCTGGCACGGTAGGACCTCTGTCTGTCTGTCTGTTTTCGACATAGAACTTTGCACAAATGTGCGGCAGTTCAAGTCGCCACACTCCGTCTAGCACGCGAAGCAGGAGAAGAAAGTACAAGAAAAGCATAATAGAAACAGTGAGCAGAGGTGTAAGACAAAGGAGGAGTAATAACGAAGAACAAAACAGTTTCATTGGAGATCATAAGTCAAGAAACATAAGTCTCAGCCAGTATAGCTTGAATAGATCGTTGCTGTGTTCAAGCCCGACCACCATGTCAAGGTAGCAGCTTTCGGTCGGGAGATTGTAACATGACAATACCACTAGTTGTTTTTTGATTGGAAAACTATAGATAGATAGGCACTAACAATTGCTAAATAACTTGTAAATAACTATTTAAACTATAAAAAATCCACTAGTGTATCTACTAGATTTTAGGAAAGTGTTTGTCAACGACACAGTGGCAGTGGAACAGAACTCTCTGTATTATGCAAAATTTAGGCGACGGAAAATATGAATATATCATACCACCTACACACTATGAGAAGTTAAACAGTAAGATAATAATGACTCATATTAAGTAAACACAGAACTTCAGCAATCTGTATGAACAAATATTCCAAAAATACAGTTCGGTAATCACGTTCAGACTCGTGTTCGAGGGGACTATTTTAGTAGGCTCAAAATTACATAGGGAAGAGGCCATTGCAGCCAATTCACAAAATTCAGAATGAAAATAAACAATGCATGACAGCGCCGTGTCCCGTAGCTTAATGACCACATTGTACTCAGTCAATGGGTTTCTAAAAGCATTTAAGATTGGAAAACGACGTTGGTTAATAATTAGTATCATTGTCTAACAAATGACTGGAACAGAAATTAACTCGATTTCTTCTAATCGATGTATCCAAACCTCCCCTCTGTATGTGTAATTTATGAGGAGACAAAAGAAGTCGCCGTTTCGAACGCAGTACGAAATTACAAAAAAAACTGCCAATTATCAGGAAAGAAATGATGTTATAGATAAGACGAAATGAATTACCAGTGCCATATCTGCAAAGTTATCGCCTCCGAGAGCAGCAAATGTAAAATATATCAAGGCATGTGGAATGCTTGCGTTAACATGTAATCCGGATGCATACAAAAACCCCAAACCGAATTGACCACGAGGATTTCCACTATTGGATAGTTGCTCGAATGCTGAATAAGCATTTTGAAAAGGATCTGTCGTATGACCTCCAAGTAATGTCAGCAAAGCAAGCTGTTCTTGAGCCTTTGTATAACCCTGTCTGGAGGCCTCATTTAGTAGTTCCAGAGCACTATATCATACAAAATAAAAAATCAACATTAACGAAGTTAACATAATGAAGAATATTATAGAAATTGGAAAACGTAGAGGATGTTAAAATGTATGGTAACTGAAAGTTAGCAAAGACATACAATTACCTTTTGCCAGCAGATGACTGAATGTCTCCTTTCTCCAAAAGATTCATAGCTTCTTCATACAATTGTTGAGGTACACTTGAATCCTGAGTCTTCTTTTCATTTGATAATGGATCGGTCTTTTTTTCTGAGTTATCATCTAAAAGTTAAAATCTATAGATCAACCTACCATCGACCGATGAAGTGCCATCAGTTGTAACATCATTAATACTCAAGTCGAGCATAAATTCATCTGTTGATCCTCGTTCTGAACGTTATAAAAAGAAGTTTGCGTTACCTCCATCTTTTAGATGTGTGTCTAGTGGACTATCTGTTGGCTCTGAGCTAACATCTGGATCTTCTTTATCCTTTAAAATTTGAGAGAATACTATTCAAATATAGTAACAATAAAATTGCCTTACATAAATCAGGTTCTAGAAAATCACGTAGGAATTTCTCGACAGTTTCCGGATCATCCAATTGTTCTAGGTCACTTTTAACTTTCTTTTTTTCTTGAGTTGTTTGAACGTCAACACCACCTAGAGTAAGGTTAAAACATATTTTATCAAAAATCCATCTTAAAACATTTTACACAAGTATGGACAACAGTAGATAGGTTTTAGTTGCCATAAGAACACTGAAATTGAAGTCAAAAAGAAATGTGACAAAAAATTGAAAATATCGCCTCTAACTATTGCTGGAAAAGCCAGGTGCTAAAGAGAAAGGTCATTAGAAAACTGAAACTTGAAATTTTGGTAAGGCTAAGGCGTAAATGTGTCTACGCCAAAGAAAGCTGAAATGCTCGGTTACCACTTAGGACTCCAGACATCTAATATGGAATAAATATAAGATACAAAGTACAGGTAATCAACTAAACACTTAAGGTGAAGGTAATAACTAACCAAGAAAACAAGAATACATACACGCTTAACTACCGGATGAGCAACAAAGATTTCACACTATTGTACTTTAATCACTAAAACCTCAGAATTAAGCGAAACCTGGTGTTCGAAATATACTACGCAAAACTGCTTCTCTTATTACTCTGAATAATAACAATGATTGCAGTCATTATTTAACGATATCGCTTAGAACGAATTTTTGATTTAAACAGAATTTTAAAGAAGGTCCAACATTACTGCTTACGATGGCGAGAATAAGGTGAGGATAGTTCAACCTCTTACAGTAGAGAGTAGTGACAAAACTTTACCCTATGTTGTTGGTTTTCTCTCTCTAAACAACAAGGTAACTAAACTGAATTTTCAACGTAAAGCTTTGGACAAACAACTATAGATTAGAACGGCTAGCTTCTTCCTATCTCCCACTTTCAATGGCCACGTCTTACAGCCATCAAGGACGGGACGAATCGCTGTGCAGTGCACACACTCCTTGGTCGATAGCTGGACATTATGCCACGGCCAGAGATGACGGAAGTTTACAAGTGCCACAGGATCTTTCTCTACTCACGCTATTTCGTTAGTACTGAGTCTAGTAAGGCTGGTGGAACTTTCCAAACAAGTGAAGTGCTCAAAGCGCTATCTTCGAACTAGGAGTCTGTGCAGACCAGTCCAGATGCACCATTTTATATTTGATAGGGACAAACCATATACCGAAAGTACTAAGATTTCTGCTCACGGTATTCAGAAGACTTTTAAGACTGCAAATACCCATTGAATCACGAAGAATGCAGTACACCTGCTCAGCACCTTCTTCATTACCAGATATTATTCCAGTCGATAAAATCAGATGCTGTCTTCAGGTTAAAACCTATGGCAAGTGTTAGACACCGCTAAATATCTATATGTCCCAAGATCTAACAAAAGGCGAAGTTCAATAAACCTTCGTCCGAATCTCAAACCCTCCTGGTCTTTACGGGTTTGTTTCTTTTAAGCACTGCTGCGTCTATGCAGAAATACAGATCTTAGAACCTCAAATATTATGTTGGTTAAACTGAGTCTCCTAAGATTATCTTGGGTAAATCTGCCGGTCAGCTATTAGCAGAACAAAGCGTTCTGAAGACTGTGTCTGAAGCCATTTTTTGTTCACGTTTTCAATCATTTCTATTCTTTATGTGCTAAGAATAGGAGAGATGAAGATGAAAACCTGTTAGAAATCATCAATAAGGACAAACTTCTAAATATGAGAATCAAATGTATCCGGCAGCTAAATGGCTAGTTGATATCGAAAGGATAAAGATTGCATTCTTTTGATTAATTGTTCTTAAATAGAGATAGTAAATGGAAATCAAACTTGTTTGGGTGGTATCCTGACAAATTTTTATGGCTTCCTATTTAAAAGGCCTAAAAACCCAAATTCTGACGAATAAAGCTGACACTGAAATGGCACGCCATGCACACCCTAAATTAAACTAAGCACTGAATAGTTCCGGCTAATTCTAATGTTGTTACCGTTATCTAGATGTTATTAGAATTTCTATGAGTTAAACTAACCATTCACTTTACTAATTATGATCCTAAATGGATTATCTATTAACGGTATATAAAGGAGACATCACAAGTGAAGTGGTTACCAATCGCCTCAAACTTCATAAGTACATTCTTGGAACAACGAAGTGCAGCAGTGAGTATCACTCCGCACCGAGAGACTTCAAAAATAATGATATTGGTATCAAAGTAAGTTTATATGACTATCTCCTTGTGTGACATGTAATCCAAGCACAATGGCTGTCTCCGTAGAATAGTATGATGACTACTAAGGTTACTAAATTTTAGCCATTCAAAACAATCAAGTGAATGACACTGAGTTTATCACATGAGATGCAATTCTTCCCAATAGTGAGAGTTAAATCCTTAGAGTAAACGGGTTAAACCAACCAACCAAGTAACTAAAATAAAAGTATGCTTCGTGAAAACGCAAGCTTCACCAAAGACAGTGAAAGCAATATAAAGGCGATGCTGCAAAGATTAAGTAAAATCCCAAATTGTGGAAGATTTGAAGCTGAAAGACATACTTCAATACGAATTCGTATTCAACTACTTTCTGGTTTCAACCAGAAAGTGAAATAACATCTTAACTTGTAACTAGTCATAAATCTCACTTTTAACAGCTTTAACAATTCGCCACACTTCCTTTAATGTACTAGGTAGCTCCCCAGTAATGCAGACCGTGACCTTTATAAAACATGACCAATTAATTGGTTTCAATAACGAAATTCACTTAGTGGGATCAGTACATGATGTGCTGTCTACGTAGGATACAGGTGTCACGTACATTAGGAAATGGTCAAAATATCACAAATTTATAAACTCTCAATGTTTCCTTCGAAAGGACAATGGGATGCGACTTCAACACAGATGAAATTTAAATCCAGACTAACACTGAACAACATGGGCTTACCACTCTTTTTCTTTGATCTTATATCCTCTGATGTGCCAAGACAAACAGAGAGGATATATATGAGTACCAAACACACAGATAGACGTGTTGGATATTTCACTAGGCAAAAATAAAACATCACTAGAAATATCCAAAAAACGCGCCGCGGGTTAAAACGCGTGTGTCTCCTATTCGCTGGACCACTGAAGGTCACGCAGTACCCTATAAGTTAGCGTATGGCGAATGCTCACCTGCTAATGTTTAAGTATCTATTATTTTGTACAGTTTCAAGGTTTAAGATATCAATACATTCCATTTTAGACGTTTCGTAGTCGAGTTATATGTGACATGAGATTCACATACTCCAGCTTATTTGACAGAGGATAGAGGGCTTCAAGCTTGTTAATCATTTTCTAATAAATATACATGCTTATTTAATTCATTCTTAAACGAGTCAATTAAAGATGCACACACCCTTTCTTCTGGAAGTCTGTTCTTAGAGTTTATGGCTCCGTGGGAGAATTAGAACTCTCTATTTATGTCCTTTGACATGTTCCTGGTGGGAGGACAAAGAGATTATAGACCAGGTCCATAGTCACTGCTTAGAATTCTGAAAATAATAATGTTGTCTCTTTTCCTACGGTATGACGAAAAGAGATCCAGAGAGTCAGGTTTTTCTTCTTATGATAAATTAACCAAATGAAGAATCGTTGGTGTGACATTTCGTTGAAATCTTACTGAAGTGTATAAATCCCCCTTAAGAATAGGATTGGTTGCTGGGGTGAAGTTTTTTATTCTGATCTCTCTAGAGATTCGTGGACATTGTGAGCGGTATATATAGATGCGTGCGAGTGCTGATCTCTAATGTACTTTAATAGAACGGCTATGGACTTTTATGTAGTTTCTAATGCCTCATTTCTTTTCCCCGAGAAACTTTGTCAAGTGGAAAAACAAATGCCGATGACATAAAGTATAAATAAAAAACTACTCACCAAGTAAGATGACACTGTTAAAAATCATCACACTAGTGATTCCTGCATTTCAGTCGTCTTCATTTTGCTGAGCCTAAAATAATCGTGAGCAGGACGAGGTACGCGTATTCTTTAGTCAGCAGTTACGAGGGCTAGGCTAGGCAGTCAGCGGGTAGTGTGACTATCTCTAAGTTCTAGCAGGATCGATAGCCACACGTCAACCGTGAACGTTACGTTTAGTCGAAACCAACTGGATATGAGTTCAAAATCATTCAAGCAGTCCAACTAACTGGTTTTCTAGAGTGCTACTTTGTAACTCATCATGGCGGTTAATAAAATACCCGGGCTTCGTATTTCCAGAAGTTTTTTTCAAAACGTTTTTGGGAAACCTCACTAAATCCAAGTTCATTAGCCTCACATAATGTCTCTGAGAGGGAATTTGATTGAAATAGCGTCGTTACCAGACAAAAAGTAACTGACTGGCTACTCAGCAATGCTTATAAAGACGATAAAACGGCCGAGAAATGACATTTCTACTGATTCAAGTTCTGTTATAGGAGGCTAAAGAAGTCCATCAGGTCAACTGAACCTCAGCCTTTTTTCGTGAATGATTAATCTGTTTATCCATGCCGACTGAATGATATGGTGTTCAACTGGGTTTTCAGAGAAAAACAGCTAGACAGTTTCGTACGGTTTTATTGTGTATCTCAAATCGTCACCAATTGCTGCATTTTAGCAGGTGTGAGCTCTGTATTCTACACCCACTAGTTCAGATAGTGTTATGAACAGCCTGGCTACCAGGTTAGCTAGGCCGGGCCACGGAGTTAGCGAGTAGTGTGGCCAGAGCTTAGGTCTAGCACAGTAGATAGCCATGCAGCTATCGCGAAAGTTATTTCGTTTGAAACCAACTGGAAGAGAGCTCGAAGTCGTTCGAGCAACCTACCTAACTAGTTTCTCAGACTACCTATAGACGTATTTGATCCCAGATAGTGTTCTCACTCGTCTTGGCTTCCCCCCACCGACATTTTGATATTTGGTAACACTTTCTGGTAACTTACGGGAAGAACTTACTATTGTTCCAAATAAGTAAGGCCGGATCAGGTAATTTACATAATCAAGTGGTCCTGTGAACTATGACCAAAATTTGCCTAAGGTGAGTATACTTTTGATAACTTTTGATTCTGAACAACTGTAATATAATACTTGACTATCTCTAACTACTTTCGTCGAGTTTGATGTCACGTTTTCTTGCCGTATCGCCAGTCAGGTCCACCAAGTTGTTCACAGCTGCCAATTATTACTGAAATTTGTGGAATCCACTGTTATATATGAGATACTGATGATAAAATCAACGCCAATAAATTTGATACATATCGACGTAGGCAGCGTATACGTACAATTTATTGACTATTAATACCATTCAAAATTTAGCTGCAGGCGCACTATATTCAAAGAACTCTACACAAGTGATCGATTTGGTGGGTTATTTCATATAAATGAAATCACCAGGGTAAAAATTTTGCTAAGTTATGCTTTAACGACTGCACTGCTAGTAAATGCAAGTAATTCACCACATTAGGGAGTGTGTGGGCAGTATTAGGCTGCTAGCAGCAACAAGCGACAGGTACTTTCCGGTCCACGTGCAGTTAGAAGGTATTTTAAACCTCGAAGTAATCCATAAAAAGCGACCTTTTTCAAAAACTCAACTGTTAATATTTGAAAGTAAACAACCCGTTATTGCAGGCGAAAATTATGTACATAACTATTAAATGCTAGTAATTGTAATGGCAACTCTAGACTCAGAAGCAGAACAGAAAATGGCCTAAGTAAAGAAAATATAGAAAAGTGTATGAACGACTAAATAATTGTTTCATGCAATTAGCTTTTAGTTGAATAAATCAAAAGATGATGCGGCACATCAAAATTTTAGGTCATGGTATACTTGCTGCTTCTCAGTTTTACGTGGGAGTTTCGAAGGTTTGGGTTATTAGGAGTTGGGTGGCGGTCCGAGATAGCTGGTCCTATACATTCCAGAATTTACAAGCATTATTAGTTTATGAGGTATGAAGCACGCGTCACAGACTGATCCTGGATATGGTACTTGAAAAATCTGACAGTTCTGCAGTCACTGATATGTAAAACACTACTGTATTGTTGTCAGCATTGAATTTATCGACAGATCTCATGACGAAGGTTGCTCAAATCTTTGGCAGATGTACTAACAATATTCTAAATGTGTACAAAGTGTGGGTTCTGAGAATTTCAACACTGCACCAGAATAATACTAATTTAGAGGTTGGCATTACTTTCTCAACGCCGATATCCAGGGCATTAATTGTGAAAGAAAAGGAAGGCGGAATAAAACTGTAAGAGTTGTGAAGTATCTTACAAATGTTGATAGCTTAAAATAAGCGATGTTCTATAAATATAGGGTTAATTGTCCACCGAAAAGTTACAGCTGTGGCATTTTATAGCATTTCACATTAACGGTGAGTTAAAATGTTGTCAGCCAACTCCCAGAAACTGTCAATGTCCAGCTCTTACTACGCTGGACCTCACGCCGTCTCTATAAGACGCTTCCGGGAAAGACTTAGTTGTCAAAGAGTTGGAGAGATTTTTCTCAGAGCTTGATAGAGTTTCTGATTTTATTAATGCCTGCTTACACAACGTTGATGTCCATTCGGAATGTGCTCCTGCTTTCATGGAATCCCGTGTTAGGTTATTGTGCAACATTCCGGCACTTGTTTCCAACTTGAAACATGGAGGTTGTTCTTATTTTACCGACGATAGTAGTTTTGTTAAAAAAGTCTTGTCTGCTTTTGAACGTGTTCCTGAAATTTCAGAAAGAAGCTGTCAATTTATTGGTCTGGCAGTTAGTTGTCTCTGTATGACAGGATATACTGAACTCGTATCAGATTTCATCATTAAACAGAGTATTGGAAATACAATCCATCTGTGGTCAAAGTTTCTAAAATATGTCAACGCCAAAGCCTTGGAGATAACATTATCACCGTTGGCTAAGAAATGCCCTACTTCAAGCATGTATTATGCGTTGATATCTGAACTTCTAGAGACTTCCACTGGCTTTGATGCATATATGAGACTATGTTGTCGTCTCTTCTATATTCGCCAATTTCGAGCAGGTAATACCATCAGAAACATTTTCAGTTCCTTTTGTTTGGCGGTGAAAAAACGCGAGTCTCAGGAGAAGTCCATCCAACTGATTGAACAAGCCGATGAAAATTTAGGCTTACCTGCTCTTAGTGTGTGGTCAGATGTGAGTTCGATACAATCAGCTTCTTTAGAAAGACGTATATACATATCTCAGATTTTTATTTCGTGGTTCGTTGATTTCCGGAATGTGCTGAGTTCTCAATTTACGATAAGAGATGATGATCTGTTACCTGATGTTTTATCTGGCATTTCTAACCACCTTGCCAGTCCAAGAATCGAGATACGTACTCTTGGTATCGTTATAGGAGAGTGGATCGTAACACTTCTCAAATGGGATACAGGAAGTGAAGATCAAAAGCTAAAATTTGATTATGTGGAACTAGAGTTCCTAAAACAAATCCGGCCATATTTTGTTTCTCTGGATGAAAATCATGGAGTGGAATCTAACCTACAGGCTACCATTCCCACTGAGACAATATCGGGAAGCGATTCTCACGAAGATACTGTCGCTTCACGTGACCACGAGTCGAATGGCGAAGATAGCACTGTAAATCAAAATGTACATGAATTGGATAGTGATGATGATCCAGATTCAGATAATGATTCTTTGAAACCACTTCCCTCTACTCAATGTTCAAGTCACAGTGATAAAACTCCTCATTATCTTCGCGAATGCCTCGATGGAATGCTACTAACTAAAGTTGAAGATAGCAAGGTAAACGTTTCATGTACCCTATCTGCAGAGAAGCTCATTCGTGACCACCCGGAAGCAGCTCGAGAACTGGCTCCAGAATTCACTAATGCGCTTATTCAGGTTGAACCACCCGTAACTCCCGATCAAAAAGAAGTAGCCCATGCTAGACATAAAGCCTTAATAGCTATTGGAGTGGTTGCCCCCAAAAAATGTGCTCGATATCTGATATGTATCCACATATATATATTTATGTGTGTGTGTGCATGTTGGTCTCTCTTTCTGTTTGCTCGCTTAGTCTGTGACCATTTCACTTGTGTGAACTTGTCTCCTTTAATAATGTATATTCTTCCTATATTATATTATATATAATATGAGTGTTTGTTGACAGTCCGTTGCTTGGTGACATATATCCATATATGGTTGTTGACATGTCTGCTATATTCGCTATGTATATTTGGATCGACATTCCATTATAATTAGCCATTCATGTTAGGACTGTCTAATGATTTGTTCCCACGCTTTGTCTGGAACATTCATATATATTTCGCATTCACATTCTGTGTGAACTACCTTACTTACTTATCACTTTGGTGTGAGACCATTTATTTTCATCTCCTTGTGTTTGGACAATAGAAGTATCATCGCAAACCTAGTGGTCTTCTGATTTCCGCCTTCTCGCGTCAGGACTATTAGTTTCTCGACCAGACCATAATTACAATTTAACGACGAGTACATAACAATATCTGACTTCACAATTTTGTCAGCAAGAGAACTCTGTGGGCAGAAAAATGTATATTATATCATGCCTCACTGATATTGCTTGTGAACTGTACGGTGGCAAAGAGGCGCTGCTTTGTCAGAAACTTCCTGCAAAGCAGCACGTGATCGAAAATGATGCCATTCAAACCAGCGAAGTTCAGAAAGGGAAAACTCGACGGTTTTTTAAGAAACGTTCACCTCCTTCGGCTTTTGTCAACAAGTTTAGCCATGTTGCTGGCGAGTTTTTCTTCCCCTTGTTAAAAAGCATACCAAACTTATCGCTCTCTTCTGTTAAAGGGACCTTCGCTCATCAAGAAGCAGTTCTGTTGGCCAGTTTGCTAGCATCATTAGGAACTATGTACGCATGCTCCAGATTCTCTCCTGTTCAAAACCGGATGGCTGACGAGCTATTAGATCTAATTCCTCTGTTTTATCGTCATCCTGAATCTGCAGTACGACGTGCTCTACTTATAACTGTTGGGACTGTTATCACTACAACTCCGTTAGAAGTCCTATCATCTAGACCACGGTTGGTCTTCAGGGATTCATTATTACCATATGGTAATAATACAAACTCTGAAGACAATACTCTTTCAGGTTGGCTGAAATCTTGCTCAGTGTCCGATACTGATACAGAGTGCCAGCTCTTGGCTAGTAATGGTCTTTCTGCATTATGTGAAAGGTTTTTAGAATTGAATCGCAAGACTATCAGAAACAATTTGCAATAACCAACGCGAAAAACCAGAAAACAGATTGGCGACTCGAGAATCCTTTATTCTTACGCCAGTATGTATCCAACAATAAAGTTATTATACACATTGTCTAAGAATAAATGTTACAAAAATAAAACACGATAGCACTTCTGTCAATCTAGTTGCAGATTGAACGATCAATTCGTGGTTGTTTGCTCAAACACAATTTCCCTATATTTTCGCGGAGACATCGGTACGCCAGTCATCGTCTCATCGGTCGCTGTTCAGCAACAAGTCAGGAGACAACTGTCAGAAGTAATATTTTGATTCATTATTGTAATATTTGTTCATAGACCCCCGTTAAAGCTTAATTATAAAGTTGGATATATTGGTGATACAATAAAGAATTTTCCAGTAGCCGATCGGTGTTTTGGTTTTGCGTCCGTTATTACTAAGCGTTTCTGAGAAACTTCAAGGAACAGCGTGAGACTGAGTGCAGCAAGAGCTGGGCATTGACGGTTTATGAGACGTGGCTGACAGTTTCTGATGGTAGAAACAGATTTGGCGGATTCAAACAGTTGGTGAAAGTTTGGATAGTCGCCGTTCATTTTTCCTGGTGCCGGTCAAGTCCTCTTTGAACAAGCAATATCTGGAGCTGTTTTGGAATTGGGTCAAGTTCAACAATGCCTGGGTCAAAGAAGGGAAAGAGCGTCTTGGATGCAAACAGGAAAGTAAGTCATGGTGACTTGTCTGTTAATTGTAACGATGTGTCTGATGTTAAACACGACATGGCTGATGTTACTGTTTCGCCGTCCAGAGATGATAGGAACATCAAACCCCCTAAATTTGAACCACAGAGTTTTGATGGAAACCCCGCTGATTATTTACAATTTGTAAAGGAGTTTGAGATCATGTTGAGTAGTTTTCTATTAAGTGATGAGTTGAAATTGATGTATTTGATGAGGTATTGCACTGGAGATGCTTCAAGAGCTATACAGTGCTGTAAGTTTATGAAGCCGAAAGAGGGCTACTACGAGGCTATGAGCATATTACGTCAAAGGTTTGGAAGACCTTCGATGATTGTAGGGAAATTATTCGAGGCTGTTAAGAGTAACGGCAGTCAACTTCAAGATGACTCCCAGGCACTCACTGAGTTTTTAGATAATTTGCTAATTTACAAGAATGCAATGATTTCGATGAATCGAATGAGTGACCTCAACTCGAGTTTTATATTAGAAGTAATAGTAAGACGTCTCCCAACTCGACTGCAAAGGAAGTGGGTGAAGATGAGCTCCCGTATGGAGGATGAGGGTATCGAGCCAAAGTTCGATGATATCCTGAAACTGGTAAATACTAGTGTCAATCAATCTATGAGCAAGTTCGCCAGTCTATTACATCTCACCCCTAGAATAGAGCAGTCTGAGATCAAAATGCAATCATTGATGACGGGTAGGCCTCAGAGAGGTGGATATCGAGAAGACTCCATGATGTATAGTAATGCATATAGACCTAGTGAGTGTAACAGGTTTCGTAGTACATCCTCAACAGGTAAGTTACAAGATGCAAGACAAACACGGTTGTGTTTTACACGTTTGCAAGAGGTGCATACAGAAGTGAACTGTGAACCGGTGAGCAAGTTCAGTGATAAGCTAAATGTAAACTCCAGGTCTGACTCCAAATTGTGTGACGATAATGGTGTTGTGAAGAAGTCTGTAGTTGCAACTGGTAAGCCGTTGTTGAATAGAGTGTCACAGAATAGAGTTACTGCTTCAGAGTGGAGTTCTGACTCCAAAAGTTTACAAGGTATAACTAGCCAGAGTGAAGATATAAAACCTTTAATCATTTGTGAGGAGGAACCAAAATTGTCTACTTCTGTTATTAAAGAGTTTTAAAATGATGAAACTGACGGTAAAGTGAATATTCATGATAATGATCATGATAGTGCAGATTTGTCTTTGGTTGATCATGATGAAATGGGGGGAATGCTTACTACTGCTAAGTTGAACAAAGGTTCTGTACAACTACAACGTGAAGTAGAATTAAATGCAGATGCAGTTGCAGAAGGCATGCATACTTGTCAAACCGTCAGTGTAATTGATCAGAGTGAAGCCCACCTATCATCAGATGATAGTGCTAAACCCGAACTAGTAGTGAAAGACAGCAGTGGTGGTTATCTTGCAGTTAGACAACTTTCTGAAAGCCGAACAACAACAGCTTCTGATCCACCGCTAACTTCATCAACTGGTATCAATCAGTCGTCGTTGGTGTTGTCATCCACAATGAAACAGACGCCCATCAACTCAAGTATCTTGTGCAATGACTATGATAGTATTGGTGCATTTGAAAAGACCGAAGATATTGGTCAGTTTAGTGAGGATAAGCCAGGTGTTAACGAGAGAGTAATTGTTAAATTGACTTGCATGAATAAAGTCATTTCTAGTTTCAAGTCACTATTCGAATGCTATTATCATTGGTGTAAATTACTCTGTGCCTACGCTTGGTTGATCAGATACGTCGTGTGTTTGTTCGTCATCTATATTCTACGATAAAATGAGATGAGCGTGTTACCGTTCAGATTTGAGGATATAGCTGATAGAAGGAAGTCAGCAAATGAACTCTGCGACGATTTTCCAACCTAGGGCGTCGACATGATAAGGGTTGTAGGCGTACTGCTGTAAGTCCTACAGTTCTTCAAAGGGTAGCGCATCAATGAGCAATCCAATGTGCTTGGTGTGTGATTTTGTACATATGTTCACATTGTATATACTGAATTGATATCATCTGTCGTCTAGCTGTTGGTAGTTCTCTTTGTGTCCGGATGACTTCCACTTGGATCATCGACCTGAGAAGGAATGTAGGCGTACTGTTGTAAGTCCTACAGTTCTTCAAGGGTAGTTTGTCATGCCACAATCCACAACATTTGATGTCTTGATTGTACATATGTTTGTGTTAAATAATTGTGTGAGTCCTGCAATTCTTCAAAGGAACTACATCGAAACATGATCCGCGAGTTTGTGTGTACTGTTTGTATATGTGTGTGGTGTGTCATATCAATTGGTGGTTTTGGATTCATTGTGTTTACTCGTTGTTTTCGTATCTTGTTGTTATTGCGTAATTTTGTTAAAACTTTCGTCGTGATTACTTCTGAAGTTGTTTCGAGTCTTCTACATCCGTGAATGAATTGATTGATGTTAAGGACAGCAGATGGGGCGTATACGCCGGGGAGGCTAGGCTATTGCTGAGAATGAGGTGCACACGGAGTTAATGATTAGGTGTGTTCCGACACGCCGGGGAGAAAGAGTGTAGACGACTGAGGCTCGCATGCGTCACCGTTACTAGAACTGAGGCAGAATGAGTGGCAAGCGATTGCAGTGGTAATTGGTAATGAGTAGATAAGAGGATGTGCGTAGAGTATCGTGAGGTGGTGCTATGGTCACGTTTCATTCTGCAAGTCATTCTAGCAAGTGGCGATTGTGTTGCAAGAGGATGTGTCAAGAGGATGTCTTTAACTGGAAGGCGCAGGTCGTCATTGATGTGTGAGATTGTGCTGTGGGTATGCTTGTGGTGTGTTGGCTTTTCTGTTTGTTTTCCATTTCAGCTCTGTCCGTGTGACCCAGGTTCTCGCAATGGCATCCAAGTCAACGTCTATTGGTCCTGATGGAAAGGAGGGATGGATCCGTTTTTTCCCGGGGAGTGTCAATGTGGTTGAAGATTGAACGATCAATTCATGGTTGTTTGCTCAAAACCAACTTCCCCAATTTTCGCGGAGGCATCAATACGACAGTCATCGTCTCATCGGTCGCTGTTCATAAAGAACCTTTAAAAAACCGTTTGAATTTCTATCGTGATTTATTGTCGTAATATTTGTTCTTAGACCTTAGTTTATTATGCCGGTTATAGGTTGGTGTTAGAATAATGAATTCTCGAGTCGCCAATCTGTGTTCTGATTTTTGCGTCCGTTAGTACTAAGCGCTTCTGAAAGGCTTCAAGGGACAGTGAGAGGTCCGGCATAGCAAGAGCAAGGAAAGTAAATAATACACTAATTAATGTTTATCATATAGGTTTTAGTTTCGTTACACTATCACCATTTACGCAACCTCAAACTATTGTGCGCATTCTGGCTAAATTAAAACAACAACGATACTTGGCCCTATGTCGCGTACATTGCTTTACCCATGTAAAGTGACTCAATAGACTTTATTCCATTACCTTGTCTTATATATATAAATATATATATCTTGCGCTACCGAACAACTGTAAGTGTGCCTACTATATGTACACGTTATCAATTTTATGGATGGAGCCTGTGAACCTCTGCCCCTCATGTACAAAAAAATACAAACAATTATCGTATATATGTGTTTCAACGTACCACTTTTCAACCACTCCTCATACTTCTTTTTGATTTCCTACTACTAGCTTCCAATTTTCCTCATTTGGGTTTCTGGATAATGATGATAATGAGGAATGTAGTTATGTGCTGATTTGCTGAATTTATGGTATTGAATTTTCAAGATAATCATGAAAACAACACTGCCGTCAAATCCTGAAAATAATTCATAAGTGCCTAGACTTTCTTAGGAGATCCAACTTGCACGAAAATTGCAGATATTCAGCTTCGAACGAATAGCCTGACCGTACTACTGACTCCATAGCATCAGTAAGTTTGGGAAACTAATGAAAGAATGATAAGATGTAAAAGGGCACTTTTAGAATTCAGTTGTTTGGTACAATAGTTATATTTATCTTCTACTTGCCTCGTATCAAGTCTTAATGCATCAAGCTGAGTCAATAACACCAATGAACCTGAAAAACCAACCACGGGAAGAAGACATTAGGTATCGAACCCAGATAGCTTTACAATAAACGACGGAAAAAAGATGTAGTGTTTTGACATAGTACCTAGCTCTTATTTGTTGCGAAAAAATGTCCCAATTTCTCACCAGAATATAAAAGGGGGAATTAAATGCAATCCCACACATGTTTTTCTTCTAAGGCGCGCAATTCAAAGGCTTTGTTACTTTTTCGCGTGTTAT